AACGGACCGCCTCCCCTCGTGCCTGCCGTGCAGGAGTGGAACGAGAGAATGAAAGAATTAGAGACGGCCCCTCCATCCCGGGCCCCATCGTCGAGCTCCACGCGGGGACGCGGTGTCGGCAGCCGGGGCGGCCGGAGGCCAGGCTCCCGTAAAGGTTCCAGCACATGGGCGGGTTTCAAAAAGCAAGGAGGTGGCGTCGCCAAAAGGAAGGCCGTCGGTGGGGCGAGGAGGAGCAGTGGTGGGACGACAGCTGCAGGCTCGAAGAACGGATCTGTGACGAGTTTCCTTACCAAGGGCGGAAAGAGAGGTGGTAGGGGAGGTGGTGGCATCGGGCTGATGCCTCACTGAGGCAACGAAGAGGGGGGGGGGGGCTGAAACGGGACAGACACGACAGAGACGAAAACGTCATGTTGGCACTCAAGGCACGCAGGAGCCCTGTTACATTTGCATGGCATGACCTATCTATTTTCATGGCGCGATGAGAAAGCGAAAAACGATCAACGATCAACGGGGTAGAGATGGGGCTCGGAGCGAGAGACAGAACGGTTTCTTCTTTATGTATGCATCTTCATGACGGCAGCGGCGTCGGGGTGGGACGACTGAGTACGCATGACACTCCTTGGGTTTTGCACGAGCAGGCGTCGGTCGGTCGAAAGGCATCATCCCGCGGGCGCAGCATAAGGTACATCTGGCACCCCTTTTTTAACGTTGATAATGACCAAAAAACTACCCCCCCTCTCGGGGCGGGACATGAACTCGCAATAGCCCATCCTGGTTCCTATCTGTACAGATGCCACACTCACGTTCATGTCTTGTGCAACCTACTGAGGGTTCAATGGTGAAGGACGGGCATCAAGTCCCCGTGGCCTTTCTAGGTAGACAGACTTGCGCATGGAGAGAACGGCAGAGGAAATGGCTGTTTCTAAAATACGATTGTCGATCCCCGTAGCTAATTACTAACCGCCCTTCCACTCTGCCCGTAATTGCCACTATTTCTTCCGCGTATGTTCATGAGATAGATGCCTTGTGCCGCATCGAGGGGTATCAAGTTCGGGTCGGGGGGGCCCAACACATCCGTCGCAGTGCCAGCGATATTCCCGAGGGTTTTTCTCTTATTTCCTAAGGGGTGTATAGCCCTTGCGTCAGTTGCTTCCGAGTCCCTCCTCCGCCTTGCCTATTGTGGCGATTCACGCTGGCTTCACGAAGTTGCTTTTCCCGATACCGCTCGAAACCAGACTCCGTCCCTCCATTCCTGGTATAATACTAAAAGACCGTCAGACAGGTACTGGCCTGTCCCAGAATAATAATACGCCCGTCAACAGACCCTAACCCGACGCCTCGCAATAAATCAATCGAAAAAAATCGTTCAGTGGCACTGCCGTGAATCCATCAAAGGGGGTATTTGGATATGTACAAGTTTACTTTTTTTGTGTAGTGTCGAAGTCACACGGAGTGGCCTCGTTCGTCCGGAGTGGCTGTCGACGGTGTTCGTCAAGTCCGCCAGCGGGGATTGCATTTCGCAATCGCGACTACATCGTCGTACTGAGAGCTTGTTGCCAACGGAGAACTGAACGCTCTCCTTTGCCCGGATAAACGAGGTTTCTAACCCCGCCACCGAGGCTTGTTGCTCGTTGAGCTCTGTGACAGCTCAGGAAGAGTTTTGCGCGTAGTACTGCGTAAAGTTGTGCGCTCCTGAGGGATTTCCCTGCTGCTCGTCGCACTGGTCTTGGGTTGCGGCAGAAGACTGGTTCGCCGACCGGAAGCCATAGAGCTCGCAGGGCGACTTGGTACAGATCTGTCGGCAAAAGATTGTAACTTGGGTGGTTGCAAAGATGCACGCCGGATCGACTGGGATTCGAGGCCCAAGGCCGAGGCAGAGACAGACGATGACGAGCGTGGCTTGGAAAGCATCTGCTGGGAATACGGCCCAGGCGAAGCCAAACGCTCTCGGAAGGAGAGTTTCGAGGGAGCTCTCTTAGTGGGCGTGTCCTCGGGCATTGGTGACGCGGATGACTCCCGAGTCAAGGGGGTACGGAGGTTCGGCGCCCTTGAACCTCCAGGTGAGGAGGTTCCTGGGGTCAACGAGGATGGCGGCCGCACAATGGGTGACGTCTTCTTGGCATACGGGCTGGGGCACGTGAGTGTCAAAGGTTTGAAGTTGTGGCCAATGCCAACGTCCGCAGTGTTGGTCGAGCTGTTCCACCTGGGACGGTTGGGTTGAGTTGACTGAGGTCTGGAAATGTTGCCTGAGGATGGCGAGCCGAGCCTTGAGGTCATGTTCGACAATCGGGAATTCAAGGGCTTGCGCGACAGCTGTGAAGATGGCGTCGGCAACAATGACTGCCTCTTACCGGCTGGCTGTGGTAGGTAACTGTTGGTGCTCATCGAACGGTTTTTGGCGAACCTATTGGCAGGAGTCGAGGGCTCAAACCCGAGGCTTGACATTATGACGGAGGAAGGCGGAGAGCTGCCCGGTGTGTCGTGGCCGCTACCTATTGTTGAGCGATCATTCGACAACATGCTGGAGATGGAGTCCCTCAACTGCTGGCCGCGGGTATCCGCTTGCACCTCGTCCACAACTACATCCATCTCTCTCATTTCGTCCTTGAGAGAGTCCCACTTAGACTGCATCTCAGCATGCAGGCGTAAAATTTCACCGTTAACCGTCAACCGGTCTTTGACGCCCTTGTCAATGATGGCTAGGACGCGCTCGATGGCCGGGCCGTAATGCGTTTTCTTGGCGTCGTAACCCTCAATCCTTTTGATCATGCTCGGCGGGTTGCTCAAATGCATGCCGGTATCGACGGCCTCCCTGAGCTTTTGCATGGACCTCTCGACCGACTCGATCATCTTCTGAGCCTGTCTTCCAGCGCCACGGAAGACAATGACCCATCGGTCTTCACCCAGCTCCTTGCGAAGGGATTCGGCGTCCTTTTCCAACTTTCTGTAGCTCCCGTCAAGACCAGTCCGTCGCATATCCAACTCTTCGCAGGCTGTAGGGAAAGACTTCTCCGCTCGAGCGGCGAAGACGGCAAGTCTCATCGGTAGAAAGTCCAAAGACGCGCGCAATGGCTGCATTCGGGCGAACAGGGCCAACAGGCTCGAATCGTCTTGCGATAGAGCAGGCATTCCTGGCGAGGTTGGACCGGGGCTGAGCGGCAGGCCAGCACCGCTGAAGCGATTCTGCGCCTGCGTCCGAGCTACCGGCGGAGGAGCGTCGTCGACAATATTCTCAAGATCTCCAATATCGACACCGTCGCAGCCAGCGGCAGCCATCAAAGACTTGTGACGGCGTTCCTCCATTTCGAAAACCAGACGGCTTAACTCGTCCATCTCGCTCTGGATATCTCCAAGAACATTATTCCAGAGCTCTTCCCACTCCATAGCGATTTCGACTTGTCCTTTGACGATGTTTAACGACGCTTTGATATTGGCCCACTCTTCGATAATGGACTCCATTTGAGAAACGGCGCGAAAGAGATCCTCGGGTGGTATGTTGGCAATGTCTTCGCGACCTTGCAGCTCCTCGATGGCACCAACATAAACTTTGATCAACTTCTCAAAACGATGGATGGCGTTTTCCACTTCCTCCAGTCCTTCACGGCCACCCGCGGCGGCCCACTCGACGTCATCGTCGCTGTCCAAGCCACTGATGACCTCAGATGCCTTGTAAATCCAGCTCCTTATCTGTTCAGCGGCGTTGATGAGAGCTTTCGATGCGACCTGAGCGGTCGGGATAGCAGACACCTGGCTTGACAAGGACTCGGCATCGGGAAGTTGTAGGGATGTTAGCTGGGCAAGCTGGTTGGCGAAAGATGCGCGTGAAAGCGTGTAGATGGAGCCAGGTCGCTGATGACCGGGATTGAAATAGGAGGCAAGGTCGGGAGTGAACTCTGCTGCAGGAACGGGTGGCGTGTCTTTGGGAGGCGGTGGAGGTGGCTGATCGGAGGGGGACTGAGCAGCGCTACGTTCAAGATGCTCCCGTCGAGTTTCGAGTTGAACCTTGGTGCCGTTTCCATTTGTGTGGTCGGGCAGGCGGTATTTGTGCGTCTCCATGTCCAGAGGTTCGGTGGTTATTATCTCGGGTATGATGAGAGACGTGCCCTGGGCAACGTCTAGTGTAAACGGCAATACCCCAGTGAAGGACTCCTCTTTAGAGGCAGTCGAGGATGCGGTTGTTGGTCTCGGATCGTCGGATGGTGTGATGCCCTTCCACGGGCGGCCGCGACGATAGATCCTGGACCCGAGAGAGCTCGCCTTATGGTTCTCGTCGATTTGGCGGATTTGGTCTTCAGGCAGACGCCCAATGTTATCTTGTTGGGTAGGGGAATGGTTGGCCGATTTCTTGTGAGAGGTGAAGCCAAGCGCTTTCAATCGTGCGGCGAGGTTAGGCGAAGGTTTGCGAGTTTGTTTTGTTGTTTGTCCTGTTTTGGGTGAGCCAACCGGCGTGGTGCTTGCGGGTTGCGCAGTTGTCGGGTGGTCGCGGGCCGAGCTTGCGGGGGATTTGTCGTCGGTCGGCGGTTTGTTTTGGGCGGTGTCGACGACGGTGTTGTTGTTGTTGTTTACAATATGGGAAGGTGGGTTTGATTGGGAAAGTTGCGGGCTGGAGACGTCAGAGAAGCCCAGGTCCATGTGTGCTGTAGTAGCGACGTTTTGGGCCTGCGGCAAGCCTAGTGGCTGCTGTGGGTACTGCAGTTGGTTGCGGGAACACGAAGTGTTGGAAAGGACCATAGCGTCATTGCTGCTGCATGTGTCTTCCTGCTGCTCTGCAGCCGACACTTCGTCGGCCGACATTTGTTCGGCTTGTTTCGCGAGCAAACCTTCAACCAAGACACCAACCTCGCTACTTTCTGCCCTTGGTGCCTCGAGAGGGCCTCGCGGGCCTCCGAATAGTCAGATACCCTGGGCCGCTTGCTACGCCGCAAAACTGTATCGTACGTGTCCGGTCGGGGACGGATGACAACGGCTGAGCTGGCTCGTGGGTAGACTGGGGTCTGGTGGTCCTGAGGTCGAATGATAACTGGGTCGTTGACTGATCCCCGCCGGGTTCAGTCGGGTCTCCCGCAGTCCGTCGAATGAGAAGGATCAATGAGCGGTGCTGGAATGATGAGAATGTCGGATGCCTGAGCGAACTCGTAAAGCGCACTGTTGTCAATGCCTTAGTGTCGGTGGGGGGGTGGGTGACAAGGGACTCCGTGGGAGCCTATGGATGTGAATACAGTCGCTATTGGAGCAGGCGTAAGCGCTATGTATATGCGCTGCAGCAGGACGCCGCTCGATGCTGGCGTGATTCTATGGACCAGAGCAGGTGAGAGACGTGATGAGGTAACGGGGTTTCGTGGCCTACCTAGGAAGTGTCTAGGAGGAACGTGGCGGCGGATCGATTCGCAGCCGGCGGAATATTGGTTCGGTTTGTACCTTAAACGGCGCCCATCGCGTAGATCCGGTCGCGTACAAAGCTGCTGGGTTGGTCCTTGCTTGAGCACAAATCTGAGGGAGGGAAGACGTGTGGGAAAGGAGACGAGTAGTGGAAAGCGGTCGCTGAAGGCGATGAGTAGAGATATCGGCTCCCCAAGCAAAAGATTCGGAGAGAGAGAGAGAGAGGGAGGGAGAGAGACGTTGTACTACCTAACTTGCAAATACGAGAAAGACAGACGGAAGGGAAGAAAGAGAGAAGAAAGATCGGGCAGCAAGAATGCGGTAAAACGGTACAAGAGGGAGTGGCGATTAAAGTCAAAATACGGTATGACTATTAGTCAACGCGAACAAGAGAAAGAAAGCACTGGCCAGAATAAGGAAAGATTGTTCGCGACGACGAGGAGCGTGAGAGGGTAAGAGAGAGGGAGGGAAAAAGGAAGCAAGCGCGCTCCAAAATGCGAATGAAAGTCCAGTCGATCCGATCGATTATTTGGGAGCGAGTCGGGATGGAAGGGAAAGAGCCCTCTTTCTTCTCTCCTCCACACCCAACATGATCCTGCGGTGATTTGATTGATTTTGGTACTAAGTTACGGATGCTACATCAACCTAGACCCTTGCCAAGGTAGCATGCGGCAGTCTGGAGCTCCCCTCGCTCGGCTAACTCGACGAACAGGACAGGACGAGATCAAGACCAGCAAACGCTTGCTCTATCCGATAATGGCTTCTCCGTCAGCCTGCAAGGCCGGACGGCAATGTCGTGGACGAGCACAAATATCTCTCAGCTGCCATGGAATCGGCATGGCGAGACGTTTAACGCCCGTCGAATCCTCTCTTCTCCTATGCTTCTTCCAGATGTGTCAAGAGAAATGTCCTGATGTCGACTCTTCCCCGGCCGGTGGTCGCCATCGGCCACTGGCCAATCTCGCTTTGCATTTCTTGGCAAATCACACAACGTCAATGATGACCCTTCACTACCAACCGACCACATAAGGTAGCCAGACGGTTGTCCCCATTATCCTTCACCGGCCCGCTGGCTCGAATGGAACCGATGGTTGCCAGACAAGAAGGCAGCATTTTCTGGACGCGCCAACACCTCTCTGATTCAAGTTCCGCGCGTTTGTCCACCGAGAGCGTGGTGACAGCGGAGGAGTGGGTTAGCCGACAGGCTGGTTAATGACCATCCACCCTACCCTTGTCGCCCACGAACCAAGAGTTCATTACCCCGGTCCTCCGGAACTCATCTGGTGGACCACCACATTGCTCTAATGAGTGAGCATTTGACCATGTGTATGTATGGAGTGCTTATTTCCGCAAGTTGCGACGTTGCAGCAGCATCACCACTTGCGGCAGTCCAAGTTCTCCTCTCTTGGTCGACCCTGGTCACAACGACCGATGTTGTTCCCAGTTCTGGACTGGTCATCCTTTGGCTGGCTGGGAGCCCTGGCATGTGGAAGGCTCTTAGAAGATTGGATGTGCCAGGGGGCCCTGCATGCACGATGGGGGGATCGGAGCCGTGGCCCACGGGCCCCTCCTTTCTCTGCGCACAGTTCCAGAGAGCTGGCTGGACATGTGTTTTCGCTTTCTTACATAGTAGTCCAGGATGGTGGCAGCGGGGGCCCAGGTCGTATCGATTGCGGGCTGGCTAGACAATCTCTCCCGCGCGTTTCAAAGAATTGTTAACCCAAACCGTCCTCGCACATGTGGACTTTGTTTGAAGGAAGGCAGCCAGCCCACCGTGTGTTTCTGGTTTAGCTACGACGTAACGAATCGACACATCGGAAGAGGATGGCAAAGCCCATGTATCATGTATGTACGGACTATGTGCACTGATGAAGATGTCGCCGGAAGGAGCCGCGGCATGCCTAGTGTAGAGCAGGCCACCCCATATCGTTCTGCATGTTGAGCCGTCTAGCCGTGTCTAACTTATGCAAGGGGCGGGCACACTTCCACGCTAGGTAGTAAACATCATAGTGTGCAACCTAGGTACGGAGTAGGTAGGGTAGGAATGATATCTCCCCATGTCTGGCGTGCGTCGCTTGCAAACTACAGCATAATGGAAATCTGTATCCAAAGAGGCACGATGTACATAGTTTAGTCTGGTGTATGCCAGTCCGAGTACGGTAGTGCAACGCCACTGTTCGTCCGGCTTGAGAGTAGTGAGTGGGGTTCCTGTTGTCATTAGCGACATTCACAGTACGGAGGATGTACGCAGTAGAGATGGGCCGGCACGATTGCTTGCACACCACTAGCATTGCCGGAAACGCCTAGGGTTAGAAAGGATACGTAAATGCGAGAAACGAGAGGGGACTGTCAAGCCACGGACCGGGATCCAGAACGTCAGGCAAACTAGACAAGGAGCCACTGTCTAGGCACCCCCGAAGTGTTAGCTCCCTTCTTCAGGTCAACTGAAAAGGCGCCCTCAGTAACAACCCGCCAGTTCACTAAGGTATACAGGTAGAGGTGGCAAGACCGGCGAGTTACAGTATTGTTGAGGGCGCGTGACTGTGTGCCAACACGCAACTTCCAACCCGCAGGGTTCCATACCAGCTCTGAAGTTAGTTACTCAGAGGTGGAACCCTCGCTCACTGATAATTCACTCGTCTTATGCTTTTCTTCCTCTTCCTGAGGTACCCAAGACGAGTTTGTTTAATATCACGCTGAACACTGTCACAGCCCAACGACGGCTTTCAGACAGACGCATGCTGTTGCCTCCAGGCAATACCAGATAACGCTAGATCGACGACAATGACCATTCGACCAGCCGACGCAGATTGTTGCAGTGGGTAATGATCTGGAGAGGCCGCGGGATAGGCCCGGCAGCCGGCAGCAGCTGAGGATAGGGCGAAGGAGGAAATGCCCTTGACGCCATGCGGTCGAGGTTGTGCAACAACGATGTTTCGATTTGATTCCCCGATATTAGGTGTGGTTTTCGCCATTTGCTGGAGTCTGAGAGATGCTTGTTCGCCGATCAACCGCGTTGCCAGCTGGACAAAGAGAGGACGTATGCCTGGGATTGACTGAGAATTCCCATGTTCGGCCAATCTTAATGTCAGGAAACAGGGGGGGGGGGGGGGGGCTGTTTGGCGGAATGAATAAAATTATCCACTCGTGCGCTTTGTTGGCCGGACGAGTTGCAGGAGATTGGCTAAAATGTGAGCCCCCTGACATTGAGAATGCCAATGGCCACGGGAAATACGACTAGACGACGGGGAACAGGCAGGGAAAGAGAGACAGAGAGACGGAGAGAGGCCACCATTAGCTAGGTAGCTAGCTGCTAGCCAGCCAGCTTGGTGCCCAAGTGACACGGCCTTCGCGGCGTCACAAGTCTTGGTTTGCGCATCGATACATGTCTTGCTGCACCTCCATGGCTGTATGTACAGTATATGGTTGCTGAGTTGACATGAACGAGTTCCCTCCAAAACCGGTTTCTTGATGCGTAGTGCAGCTGAATAAGAAGTCGATGTTTCCCTCTCGTCCTGGGCTTGTGGTACTTCAACCCTCCAAATCCGTTGCATTACGAACACTACCTAGCTAGCATCTTACATCTCACAAGTGCAAGCACCAAACTCTGTTTCTTTTACATCAGTCACCTTTCCAGCAAGACATTTGAGCCGCAACTCGTCAACAAGCGTCGCTGTAGGACCCTGTAAAGAAGCGAGCCAACCCATCAGCGCGATACACCTACGAATAGCAATAGCTACGCTCATCATTGCACCGGGGCAAGGCGCCCAGGCCGCCGAAGAGCAACAATCTAGACGTAAACTACGTTACCTAGGTAGATACCACACCAACCAACCAGTGGGATAGGGCAGAGCGAGTCCCCCGGCCCGTTCCCACCTTACCCTCTCCTTTCCTTCGTGACTGGAGCACCCCACCTTTGAAGACGACGCGACGTTCAATTTAAACGGTTCCTTCCCCTGCAGCCCACCCGCGCCACTCCATTGGACCCCCAATTTGCCCGCTGGAGACTTTTCTCGTCATCATCGCCCTGGGTCCTCCAACGGAAAGCCAGCGAGTTCCACTGACGCAGCTGGAACGAGGCTACAGCACACCCGCCCGCACCGCACCGCACCGCACCGCACCGCTGCCACTTGTACTCTCACCTGCTGCTGTGGTCACACCCAGTACAGTACAAACCCCTGACGCCCCCCAAAAGTCGCGTCGTGTCACAGGTCCCAGGAACAAGCATAAGCGCAACTTGCTAACGCACACACCTCCTGAACCTGCGGTGCCGGTCCTTTCTTTCGCCTTACCGTCACCGAACCGGCCTATGATCTGGGGTGCTGACCGGCCGGGGTTTTAGTCGAGAGGTAAACTTTCTCTGACCTGCTTCGTCCAGCCGAACCTGGCATTCGTTGCTTGGGTCTTCACCTTTACGAACCCATTTCCCATACGCACCTCGAACCACCAGCACGTGTTTCTTCGTTATAACCTTCTACCAACCGGACGCTGCTGTGCACCCAGACTCGTTTCACGGCTTCCTGCGCAGTCCTTTCGTCTGCTCTGCACATGCCTAACTGCGACATTACTTGTCTCTGTCCCCTTCGTGTTGCCCATCGCGCAAAGCTCGCGGCACTTAGCTGAGACGGGTAACCAACCTATTATTCCCATCCGGTCACTACCACGCCCTCTGTCGGTTCTGCAAACCCCATAGGCTCAGACTTCGCACCGTCTTCGCTTCTTCGGCCGAACCGAACGCGCGACTTTCTCCCCAACCCAGGTTATGGCCACGGCAAACGAGGAACCGCCCTCGCCCGAGATGTCACCAACTCCTGCCATCGGCGCTTGCCCCGAGCTATCCCGCTGCGTGTCAACAGCCTCCTCCACCTCCCATGGATCCGCCACCGACGGTACCTCTCGCGAATCTCTGGGAAGCTTTCAAGGCAGCTCGTCCTCCCGACAGTCTTCCGGAGCATACAGCCGCCGCTCAGATATAAGCATTGTATCCCCACGGCAGTCGACATACGGCGGCAAGGAGGGTGTGAGCCGCTCTTCCAGCCGCCGCCGCGGATTTGTACGGCCGCAGGGGACCGACTTCGCTGCGAGTGCCCGGCATAGAGAGAGCGTTCTGAGCCTGGGAAGCATTGCCCATCTGCAATACTACTTTGCGCGCACCGGTCTCCTCGACGGCAAAGGCGCACAGTTGGCAAGGAAGAACAAGGCAAAAGGGGGGCTGGATCTCTCGTCCGTCAGCAGCTCGAGCACATCGTCACCAAGGATGCTTGATTCGGAGGGGAACAGCCCGGAACTCGGATCTCACTCATTCGATACTGGGCCCATTACGGGATCGCCCACGGAGGAGGATGATTACTATTCTGACGAGTTCGAAGAGGATCCGGATGTTCTGCCGCCCACCGCCAGCACCTACATCCACAGAAATAAGCCAGTCCCCAAGCCGCCGACGATACAGGAGTTGAAGGCGGACCTAACGGGTTCTCTTGACAAGGCCGCCGCTGCAACAAGGCGCGCCAAAATCCACAAAGAACCTCTGCCGGAAATCCCCGAGAGGAAGCAGGAAAACCAGAGCACGCCTAAGAAGGGCCAGGGCCAGGGCTGGCACGAGGTTCAGGGCATGCACATTCTGGATGTTATGACGCTGGCCATTCGCGCTGCGAGGAATTATTATACGGCCCATGAGGTTCCGGAGCGGCTGGATGCCATCAAGTCCGAGAAAGAGATCCGCGCAGAGTTGCTCTCTGTAATGGAAACTTTGAAGCAGATGGCGACCCGCAACTGGGCCGGCGGAATGAGGGACGAGGAGCTTCAAATTCTGGATTCTTGGGTTCGGGGGCTGTTTGACATGCTCAAGAAAGAGGAGGAGATGGAGGAAGCCGAGAAGGCGCAGCGCAGTACTTGGACATGGCTTTCGGGCAATTGGACAGGCAAGGAGGTCGAGCGAGAGCTGGCCTTTATGGCATCACTTGACCCCTCTGCTGGCCCTCTACCGGAATATACCCCTGCGGCCGGCGCGACAGAGTTGCCCACGCCCTTTCTCGAGACTTGGCAAAATGGCATCCGGCTCGTTGAGCTACATAACGCTGCGGTCAAAAGGTCGAAGCGTCGGTTCGGCCTGATCACCTCGTTCCACACCGACACAGACAAGCCGTACCGGTGCGCCGACAACATCCGCTACTGGGCCAAGGCAGCGGAGCTGCGTTGGGAGGTCCTTCTTAAAGTGGATGCTCTCGGCATCGTCTACAACAACTCTCCCGAAGTCTGGGTTAACTTCGAGAAGGCCATCATAGCTTGGAGCCGCAAGGTCCGCGAGGAGATAACGCCTGAACTCATGGGCTGAGTTGCGAGTCACCCTCAACCGGTTGTCGTCATTACGATTAATGCAACTCCTCAATACCCGTATTTTTTTCTGGAGTTTTAAAGGTGGATTTTGAAATTTGCCTCGTTACATTTACCTACCCGCGGAAGGATTGAAATCTACGGAACACGCATATGCGTTTATTACCATTACGCATCTTATCACATCAATGCCTAGCTTTTAAGACGAAGTAGATCCGAGTATGAGACATTAGGTCGTCGTTATCAAAATGAAAGATAGGGCACCCAGGCGTTGGATAGCCTATTCTTGTTCTTTGGTTTGCCATTCATAATACAAACTTGGAGGTCATTCTTCCTAATTGATACTGGTGTACGATCAGTCGCTTCATCTACACTTTTTGACACCCAGTCTTTTCGTAATATACAACGTGCCTTCCCTTTTCTACTGCTTATCTGACCAGACTTTGAGCATTGTGAAGCATGTTCTCGAATCGGACTGCGTCTCATTTAATGACCTTCGTTGACAAGACGAAAGTGTACGCACCGGGATAAGCATTTTCCGGCACCGAGGTGGCTGCCAATTGTGGCCCAGCTGGCAGAGCTTCAGTGGCTGGCTGTATGGCGCTAGTCGGAGCTGAGCCGTGCTCTGTGGGAGGCAGAAGGCTGCAGTGGGAGGTACGTCGACCTCCGAAAACAACGATCCGATTACAACAAGCTATCCACCACCGCCCGACCGATCAGCCAATCTTCCTAACCCCCGATTTTGACCTGTTTACGACGCAGCCACTTTATCCATTCTCTCGAGGAGAAGCCGACAGTACATCTCTAGTTCTTTTCTTTTTGCCTTTTCTCAATCACATAATCAGGGATGTCTTCCGACGACGAACGCCAGAAGGCTCTCGACTCCTACCGGGCCAAGCTGCTCGAATCCCGGGAGTGGGAGGCCAAGCTCAAGTCCCTCCGGCTCGAGATCAAGGATCTGCAGCGGGAGTTTGACAGAACCGAGGACAACATCAAGGCGCTGCAGAGCGTCGGACAGATCATCGGCGAGGTGCTCAAGCAGCTCGATGACGAAAGATGTAAGTGATAGCATGGCCTGGCCGTCCCTCGACATTGGGGGATCTTCTCACCCACCCCCACCACCATCATCGCCGCCCTTCCAAGCACCCCTTCCATCGCCCTTCCTTTGAACAAGCAAGGATAATTCCCGCTGACCACTGCTATTCTCCTTCCCACAGTTATCGTAAAGGCGTCGTCCGGTCCGAGATATGTTGTCGGATGCAGATCAAAGGTCGATAAGGTCAAGCTCAAGCAGGGCACGCGAGTGGCTCTCGATATGACGACACTCACCATTATGCGCATGCTTCCCCGAGAAGTGGACCCCCTCGTTTACAACATGTCGCTGGAGGACCCCGGTCAGGTCAGCTTCGCCGGAATCGGTGGCCTCAACGACCAGATCCGCGAGCTGCGCGAGGTCATCGAGCTGCCGCTGAAGAACCCCGAGCTCTTCCTGCGCGTGGGTATCAAGCCGCCCAAGGGTGTCCTGCTGTACGGCCCCCCCGGCACGGGCAAGACGCTCCTTGCCCGTGCTGTTGCGAGCAGTCTTGAGACCAACTTCCTGAAGGGTAAGTGCAACGCCGAATGGAGGAGCCTGGCCCACGGCATACTAACAATGACGGATTGCAGTGGTATCTTCAGCAATCGTAGACAAGTACATTGGAGAGTCCGCCCGCCTGATTCGCGAGATGTTTGGCTACGCAAAGGAGCACGAGCCCTGCATCATCTTCATGGACGAAATCGATGCCATTGGTGGTCGCAGATTCTCGGAGGGAACTAGTGCGGATCGCGAGATCCAGAGAACGCTGATGGAACTGCTCAACCAGCTCGACGGTTTCGACTACCTTGGCAAGACCAAGATCATCATGGCGACGAACCGACCTGATACCCTCGACCCCGCCCTGCTCCGTGCCGGACGTCTCGACCGTAAGATCGAGATCGCTCTCCCGAACGAGGTCGGTCGCTTGGAGATTCTCAAGATTCACGCCTCCGGCGTGGTGACGGAGGGCGAGATCGACTTTGAGAGCGTGGTAAAGATGAGCGACGGCCTCAACGGTGCAGATCTGAGAAACGTTGTCACAGAAGCGTAAGTGCTCTTTCTCCACCCTCTGCTGCGCCTACAAAACAGCAGCGGCTAACACTGAGAACACAGCGGCCTGTTTGCCATCAAGGACTACCGAGATGCGATCAACCAGGACGATTTCAACAAAGCGGTACGCAAGGTCGCCGAGTCGAAGAAGCTGGAGGGCAAGCTCGAGTACCAGAAGCTATAAGGTGACGGAGCGTCTCGTCATGACCGTTTCACAGGAGAGATGGGGAGGGAGAACAAGACCCTACGGGTGGTGGGCGGAGCAGAACCAAAGGAAAAAAGACATTTTGGAAGAACGGCTGGGACGGAGCATCATGGTTCTTGGCCGCTCTTTGGGGGTCTTTTTCTTTTAATGTGTTAAACAGTGTACAATACCCGAGTCCACGGTTTGGGGTTGTTTGCAAATGGGGCATCATAGAAACGTACGGAGTGGAATAGAGGCAGCTACGAGAGCCCCAAGAATCAGCATGCGTGCTGGCATAAGCTAGACATGCCCCATATTTCGCGATGGCCGCGTTCTCTTGCCTCGACAGTGTCTATCCCCGTGCCCTGACAATGGTTGATCCGTAAATGGGTTCCCTCCCCGCAGCATGATCTGCTTTTGGCATCTGCTTTGAGATGAAGTGCCAGACCAGGATCAGTCTGTATCGAAGCGCCTTTCGTCTGTCACCCTGTCCGAGTATCTCCGGGGGGAAGCCAGGGGGCCGGTGATAGTAGGTATTTCTGGTCGTAGTTGGGTGGTGGAGAGTTGGGAAGGGGCTCCGTTCATGAGGCTATTGATGGTGCACAGCCTCAATTGGGGGAGAGAGGCTAGTACGGGAAGCTCAGCCAACGCCACATCCCGCTGCACCAACAGAAAGACAACGCGTATACGGTAGTTCCCAATCGCGAGAACCGATTTTTCAGAAGCTATTATCTGGACCCCCCCAGGGAAGGAAGGGGGAGAGAGCGGGCGGCGGGCAAGCCGTATCGGACAAGTTCTACGTCGTCGCTGCAATAGTAAGCGGTAGGGCTGGAGGGGATGCGTCAGTGGGAACATTCCAGAGCCACAGGTGGCTAGGGGGGCTAAGGGCGTGTGGGTTCCCAGGTGCCTTTCTCGAAGCTTGGCTTGGCCTGCCTGCCTGCCTGTACGCCGGACAGCCGGAGAGACAACGTCTTGCAAGATGTCTCCGTTTCCCGCACTAGGAGCTTTGCACCCGGAGACGAGCAGGAAGAGCGCAGGCCGGGGGGGAGCACATGCGTGCGATCTTGGCCAACGGGGGGGTCGCAGCCCGTAAGCCTGGGAGAATCATAGGTCCTGCGTCTGCAATTCGACGAGCCCGACCTGTCCGCGTAAATGAGACTGCTGGACTTTTGCTGCATGCGGATAGCGGAGGCTCCAGCTGAGACCACGCATCATGCCATGGGCGATTCAGCACGGCAACGAATTCAGACAAAGGTCAGCCACATGCTTCTCGATGCAAGCTCTTTATTCATGAGACGTAGACATGGGTGAGACAACTAGGTAGGCCACTGCAAGCGGGAAGTCAACTGCAGAAATACACTATTGTTCAAGGCGGTGGCAGGAACCAGCATCACGGATTCTTCTAGTCTGCATAGTTCTGACATCAGAAAGCTCGCTCCAGATTGTAAACTTGGGAGACGGGGCGCTCGAGACTGCTGGCCTTCTGACAGGCCACAACTGTGTGCGTGCCTTGGCCGGGTTGGGTTTGCCGCACGCTTCGAGATCTAGGCCGTTGGGATGGAGCGGCGAGATGGGCGGTGGCACTGGAAGATGCCAGATGGTGATTTTCAGGAGAGGCCGATCTAACAGGGTTCTCTGCTCGGGGCGAATTGTTATTTTTGGATAATATTATACAGTACGACGTAGTACAATACGGAGGGGACGACAGGCCGCCCCTTTTCTGGGCCCGTTCTCGCGATGGTCATTGAGGCTGTACCTGTCTTAGCGCATCGCTCTATTCTCTTTTTCTCCCTCTCCCTTCCTCTTCGTACCAGGGACAGGGCGCCCCACACTCCCCTGTCTGCCCCCCCTCTATGGATGCAACCAGCAACGGAGCCAAGCAGCAAGTGTTGGAATCAGGAGACTCGAGTTTGGGGATTTCCCGACGCCTGCTATTGCAGTGCCGACGATCTCCGCTGTATTCTTTTTTAGCGCTTAACAAACAGGGTGTCCGTGGCTCTTTGATTGGAGATGGGAACCAGGCAATACGAAGGGGATGGGGTCGAGAAAGCTATGATTACGGTGACGCGGGGCATGGCCGGGGATGACGAAGGCAGATAGCCGTCCGCATCAACACACGAGAAAAAGGGGTTGTCTCTGAGGCAGCACCAAGAAAGGGTTTGATGACTGAATCGGGGTGGCTTGCGACGAAGACGTTGAGCTAGCAGCGGCTTTTGCTTTTGTCTCGTGCCGTGTTTCTGCCTCTTGGTTTCGTTGTCTGGTTGTATGTACCCAAGTAGTGTAGGTAGGTAGTAAGCCAGGTTGTTGTTGGGATAAGGCGGTCTTGGATCGGATCTTGGAGTTGAAGTAGGCAAGGGATTGGACGAGGTGGGGTGGGGGCGCATGTGGTGAGGTACCTACCTAGGTAGTGTGCACTTGGGGGTGTGTGCGCGAAAAGTAAGGCACCTTGCCAGCTTAGGTTGTTAATTGGCAGGGTAGTGCGAGAGAGAGAGAGAGAGAGAGAGAGAGAGAGAGAGAGAGAGAGAGAGAGAGAGAGAGAGAGAGAGAGAGAGAGAGAGAGAGAGAGAGAGAGAGCTTTCGGGTGTCGATAGCAAAATAGTTAAGGGCTGACCACAGAAGTGAGCTAGTTGAGGAAGAAAGAGAAGGTAGGGCAAGGGATCCCGAAGGCTGACCATGATATTGGCGAAGGAGCAAGTGGGATGCGGTCAGAGGAGACGAAGATGAGGTGGGACGCTGAGCAGCGAGGCGGCGGCAGTAGTGCGGGAGGCTGGAAGCTGACTACCGGTATAGCTGGGCTGGTTTGGCTCCTGCCTGCTTGTTGCCGAGTTTCCATCGAGAAGAGCGCTTGTTGTTGGCCTGCTTGGCTTGGGAAGCGCAGTGCAGCGACTTTGTTGTCGTGCTTTCCTAGCGGCCGGTTCTGGAATGGAAGCGACGAGAACAGACAAAGTTAAGTGGATTGTTGGCTACACCGGCTATCATCTCGTCGCTTGAGTGTCTGCACATGAGCCGATGAATGGCAGATATCGCGGGTTTTTACACTAGATGCTCTGATTGCCCGTACTGCTATACCCGTAACAGTTGGTTCGGATGAAAAAGCAAGTCTCCTCCAGAGGTGAGATGTTTTGGTGGTACGTATTGAGGACGATCTCTCAAGCTACCACCTACCTACCTACATACCTAGGTACCCACGAAGTAGTGTAGTACCCCATCCAGGCTACCTAGGAGGACACCTTGAGGGACGTGGGATTATGAATGGAGATGAAGGCGGCAGGAAGGCAGTGGTGGTGGACGGGTTCATGCTCCTGCCTCTCCTGCGCCAGCCGTCAGTCAGAAGAAACAAAGTGAGAGACAGACAGACAGCCTCCGGGTAGGATCCTGACCAGTCATCAGCCCGGATCACACAATATGTCAGTGTCCGGATGGTTGTTTCCATGAGCCTAGAGATGAACGGATTTTGCCGGGTTTGGCTGCCAACTAGATGTGCAGTCAACACAAGGTTCCAAGAGAATCGCGATGCTATTACTGCAGGCGGGTGGTGCCAGCAGAAACTGCAGCTGTTTTGTTGTTGCCGGTGAGGCGGGGAGGGGGAGAGGAAGGGGGGTTCCTCCGCAAAACCTGCCCCTCACCCGCCGCATTCTCAGCTTTCCACAGGTTCGCGTTTCCCTTTCTTTCCTGGCCCATGCCACTCGCTCGCTCCCTACCCCCTGATCCGTTGCCCCAGCGCCTGCTTCCCGCTCGCGATATGTCAGACAACACTTGGAGTTTTGGGGAGCGAAGCCACTTGGCACCCAGCACGCCCCAAAACAAACCTACCTACCTACAGGTATACCAAGCCAAGCCCATCCGGACGCTGTACCTTGCCCAGGAGTGGCCCAGGCATACAAACCAACAAACGATAACGATGACAACAAAATGCCGTCCCTTTACCCGGTGACCTCAATATTATGAGAAACAAGAGCTTGCATCTGCCGTCCATACCCATACCTCAGCCTGCCTAAGCAGTTATAAGACTTGCCTACGCATTCAGAACCTCGTCGTCTTCTTCACCGGCCAAAAACTCAAGCCACTTGGGCTCTGGAACACGGTCTTTTTTTACGTCTATCTGCCAAATGCATCAGTGCTTGGTGCAATTGCTTCTAGGATTCTTGGTTCTTTTCTATTCGGTCTGGGATCAGGTACCTGGTTCTCCCTTCATCTTGGCTTCATCCTTCCTCCTCTTCATCCTCGCCCTCAATCCGTGCCACGCCGCGCGCCCTCTGCCATCATCCACCGATACGAGCACGCCCCTGCCACACCCCGCCCACCATCCACCACCCACCTCCACGCCTCTGGGCGCTACTGCGTATTCTCTCCACGTACACATTACGCTCCCCTCCTCTCGTTCTCCGGCCATTCGACTAGCAACACATAAAGCTGCTCAATTCCCGCCTCCTGAACTTACTTGGCCCTGCTCACTCTCTCTCGATTGAACTATCCATCTCTCTCGCTCTTCTTGATACCCCTCACCGCCTCCTCCACGCCCCCAGTCTTTGACCATCTCTCTCTGCGAATTGCTCTTTTACGTTTTTGTCGGTGTCTTCTATTGCGTTGATTCAATATGTGGTACGTCTAGCCCCAATTCTCTCCCCGCTCTCCAGCAAACTTGCCCGTAGGCTGTCCTCCCCCTTCCACCTAGTTTTACCAGCTGAAAACGGACCGGAGACGGCAGCCGTGAACACAATTTCCATCACAGTAAGCAGTAAGCTGACGGGAAACTCTCAATAGTGGCATTTTCGGCTACGTCAACTACCTGGTGGAGAAGGACAGGAAGTTCATCCTCGACACTCTGGTGAATGGTGAGTACACCGCCTCCCCTCGAACAACTCCCATTGGAGTCTTCAAGCTCCACCCCCTCCTAAGAATCATTTAGCTGACAAGCTGCTGTCTCTCAGGCCTGTCTCGTCTCGAGTACCGCGGATACGACTCGGCCGGTCTGGCCATCGACGGCGACAAGAAGAACGAGGTTTTCGCCTTCAAGGAGGTTGGCAAGGTCGCCAAGCTCAAAGAGCTCATCGCCGAGTCCAAGGTCGACCAGACCAAGTACTTCGACTCACATGCCGGTATTGCCCACACTCGCTGGGCCACTCATGGCCCCCCGTCTCGTTTGAACTGCCACCCCCACAGGTACGCGTGCACCCCCGAAAGGACAAAAGCAAACTCTTTTCCCATGAACCGACTCCCCGCCCACAACTCTACAATTAGCTAAACTTGCCTCGTTCTGCAGATCTGACCCTACCTGGGAGTTCACTGTCGTTCACAATGGTATCATTACCAACTACAAGGAGCTCAAGACTCTCTTGAGCACCAAGGGCTTCAAGTTCGAGACCGAGACCGACACCGAGTGCATTGCCAAGCTCGCCAAGTACCTGTATGACCAGCATCCCGAGGTTGGCTTCACAGACTTGGCCAAAGCTGTCATCAACGAGCTTGAGGGTGCCTATGGACTCCTGATTAAGTCCGTCCACTACCCTCACGAGGTCATCGCTGCCCGCAAGGGTTCTCCCCTTGTCATCGGTGTCAAGACGCAGAAGCGCATGAAGGTTGACTTTGTCGACGTCGAGTATTCTGAGGAGGGTGCTCTCCCCGCTGAGGCTGCCTCTCAGAACGTTGCCCTCAAGAAGCAGGACAACTTCTTGAACCCTAACGCTCTGCTTGGCGCCCCCGACAAGTCCCTGCTTCACCGCTCGCAGTCGCGCGCTTTCATGACCGACGATGGCATGCCCATGCCTACCGAGTTCTTCCTTTCCTCTGATCCCTCCGCCATTGTCGAGCACACCAAGAAGGTCATGTACCTCGAGGACGACGACATTGCCCATATCCACGAGGGTTCGCTGAACATCCACCGCCTTAAGAAGGCTGATGGCAGCTCCAACGTCCGAACCATCCAGACCCTCGAGCTCGAGCTCCAGGAGATCATGAAGGGCAAGTTCGACCACTTCATGCAGAAGGAGATTTTCGAGCAGCCCGAGTCCGTCGTTAACACGATGAGAGGTCGTCTCGACACTGCCAACATGACCGTCACCCTTGGTGGTCTCCGGTCCTACATCTCTACTATTCGTCGCTGCCGCAGAATCATCTTTATTGCATGCGGCACTAGTTATCACTCATGCATGGCCGTTCGCGGCGTGTTTGAGGAGCTGGCCGAGATACCCATCGCCGTGGAGTTGGCCTCCGACTTCCTTGACAGACAGGCGCCCGTCTTCCGTGACGACACGTGCGTCTTCGTTTCCCAGTCTGGTGAGACTGCCGACTCCCTCATGGCTCTGCGCTACTGCTTGGAGCGTGGTGCCCTGACGGTTGGTATCGTCAACGTCGTCGGTTCCTCCATCTCCATGCTCACTCACTGTGGTGTCCACGTCAACGCCGGCCCCGAAATCGGTGTCGCTTCTACCAAGGCCTATACTTCTCAGTTCATCGCCATGGTCATGTTCGCCCTGTCCCTCAGTGAGGACCGCGCCTCCAAGCAGAAACGTCGCCAGGAGATCATGGAGGGTCTTGCTAAGATCCCCGAGCAGATCAAGGACATCCTTACCCAGGACCGGGCCATCAAGGAGCTCTGCGCCAAGACCTTCCAGAACCAGAAGTCCCTCCTTCTGCTCGGCCGTGGTGCTCAGTTCTCTACCGCCCTTGAGGGTGCCCTGAAGATCAAGGAAATTTCCTACCTTCACTGCGAAGCTGTCATGTCTGGCGAGCTGAAGCACGGTGTTCTTGCACTTGTTGACGAGAACCTGCCCATCATCATGATTCTTACCCGTGATGACCTCTTCAAGAAGTCGCTCAACGCTTACCAGCAAGGTAAGCCAAATCACCTGCATACCATGACCCATTTAAACCAGATGCTAACAATGTTAAATAGTTATTGCTCGTGGCGGCAAGCCCATCGTCATTTGCAACCCCGGCGATGAGGAGTTCAAGGCTAACGAGGCCGAGAAGATCGAGATCCCCAAGACCGTTGACGCTCTTCAGGGTATCCTCAACGTCGTTCCCCTACAGTTGATTGCCTACTGGCTGGCTGTCATGGAGGGTCTCAACGTCGACTTCCCTCGCAACCTGGCCAAGTCTGTCACCGTCGAGTAGGCTGCTCGTACGGGATGATTGAAGTTTGGTTTATTATCGGCTGCTTCTTGCCATAATGGAGTTGGTTTGCCAAAAGGGATTCAGCTGGCCCTTGGTGCTTTTAGTGTCATAGCAGGCTGATTAAGAGGTACAGGCCATGTCAGATGTGAAGCCCTCTTTGTGTATTACTCGGGGTGTTGTGGGAAAATGAGGGAAAGGTGCAGCATGGGTAGATTTCAAGGTCCTGTCAAGATAAAGGAGCGTGTTTTTAGGGGGAGGTTAAATGCCGCAGCAAGGCAACCTGAAGAAGCAATGAAAACAAATAGCGTCTATTTCATTTATTGATACATTGGCATGCCTCGCGCCGATTCGGCTGACGAAGCCGTCAGCGAACGCAGTAGTGTCCCCACATGATCAATCGTCAAGGGCCAGCTATCCCAAGTAACCAGTCATTGTCATTTCATTCCTTTGTCTCTCTATTTCCCAACCTTGCCTCATGACTCCACTCTAGACAACCTGCGTACCATAGCCACGGATCCGTTCCGCAAACTTCCAGCTCTGCTTCTCGAGCTTCTCATTCTCCTTCAAGTCAACACCGTCCTTGGTCACGACAGCGATTGAGTAGTTGTCGGAGCTGCGGGCGTCGCGATAGAAGAGTACCTTCATGCACTCCTTGATGACCTCGATGGCTTGCTCCTTGGTCAGTTTGGCGGCTGCCTCCTCATCGGGGACGTAGCGACGCATGATGGGTTGGGCAAGAGCCGAACCGAAGCCGGTAGCGAGCGAGGGGGAGGTGAAGGTAGTGCCGAGGAGGTCGGCAGCAGCGAGGAAGGGCTTGTTGCTATCGTCAAGGCCGGCGACGAGGAGGTGGTTCCAGAGGGGGTCGAAGTCGGAGCGGCGCTTGTAGAGGAGCTTGGAGAGGTACTTGTGCAGATTCGCAGCATTGAGACGGGCGGGGGCGTCAGCGGATAGGTCGTACGACTCTTCAATATCGAGGCCCGAGAGGTGGCGGTCGAGGTACTGCATGTCAGAGACGTCGCCGCCGAAGCCGACTACGGTGGAGTTGGCAAAGGTACGGAGACGCTTGACATCGGTGAAGCGGGCGAGGGAGCCGTAGGATGCTTGAGAGAGTTATCAGCCTGCGTTCTGCTTTTGGTTCAAAAGGGGAAAGTGGATGGTGGCGACGTGGGAGGATAGGAGACAAACCCAGGTTGTCGGCCGCAATGACGACACCCTCGCTGAACTTCATGGCTATGACTGATGTACCCGTGACGATGGGGGACTGTGTCGCTTGGTTGGGACCGTTGAGGTTCATGTAGGAGCCATCATAGGCACCGTAGACGTCGTCTCTGGGCTGCGAGGAGGGGTTCAGTCTGTTAGTCCATGATGCGAGGCTCGAGAGGATGTAGGGGAGGGGAGGGACTACATACACGGCCCCAAGCTTGCGGTCTGTGATCCATTATAGCTGGTGTTGTGTGTGTAGTTGCGAAAACTGTGAAAATGCAATCGTGGGAAAATAAGGTCGTGCGGAAGGTCTTGGAGGGTTGGCGATGATCGGTCAATATGTGAGGTTGAATGAAGCTTGGGGGTTGCTGTGCCGAGCTTCGCGTCCCTATGGATGCCTCTCCGGCTCCGCTGGCCGTACCAGCTGCTGCTCCTGCCGCTGGTCCTTGCTGCACCGGGATGGTGCCTGACAATTGGGGCTGCGAGTTTGGGGGGGCTTACCGAAAAGGGTCAGCTTGGTAGCTTTTGAAGTGGGCGATACATGATTAGTACTTGGTACCTTTACCCATTGTCAATCATCCATTTCTTTGAAGTACCCAGTACCTGATAGCTCCAAGGGGTCAAAGATCAAACAAACAAGGAGGTCAGCGCAGTTCAGGTCGCAAGCTCTGAGTCCCATGCCCCGTCATTTCGTCAACACCACGGACGGCTCAAGGTATCGAAAATATCCCTACTCCTCCGACTCCCACGATCGGTATCTCCGCCTCGCAACTCGGTCCGTTCTGGCCTGTGCCTTTCGAACCGCCGTGCACTGCATCGCCACTATAACTGCCCTCGACAGGAAAGCTCAACATAGAATAACTCCCACCACAACCACTCTCAAGATGTTGACAGCCATTGGCCAAGCAGCCACCCGGCGCCTGTTCCTCCGCGCGGCGCCATTGGCTGGCCCTCGGACCCAGCCCGTTGTGCGCGCTGCGCGCCGCGGCTTCTCGACCTCGCAGTGGGCACGTATGCCCGCTGCCAAGGCTTCCTCGACGACCACGAAGACGAAGAAGAGCACCGAGGCCAAAGACGGCGCAGCGCCGAAGAAGGCCACAGCCAAGACCAAGACCAAGGAGAAGGCGGCGACGAAGCCAAAGAAGGAGAAGAAGCCCGTGATAAAGAAGCCGGTCAAGGAGCTCACACCCGAGGAGAAACAGAAGCTCGACGTGAAGAAGTGGAAGAAGCTCGCGCTGCTGCCGGATCCCAAGAAGCTGCCGACCACCAAGTGGCTGGTCTACACAGGAGAGGCGAACAATGATGTAAAGTCGGCAACCGAGTTGATGATGCGGACCAAGGAGAAGAGCGAGTCGTTCAAGAACTTGTCCTCGTACGAGCTCCAGGTAAGCTCCCAAGCTCCCTCACCTCGAATCTCCCCTACGAAAGTTGCCAGAGAGCTGACACTAATACTTTCCCTCGAATCACAGCGTCTCCAGGAAAAGGCCGACGAGAACAAGCTCATCAACAATGCCACCTACAAGGCGTGGGTAGAGTCACACGCGCCGCGGGATATAGTCGAGGCGAACCGCGCGCGCCTACGTCTCCGCAAGGCCAGTGGGCGCTTGATCCCCGCGCCCATCCGCGACGACCGCCTGCCTACACGTGCGCCGACATCCTACGGGCTCTACACCAAGGCTCGTTGGGCCAGCGGAGATTATGCCGGCCTGCCACTACCCGTAGCCAACAACCGGATATCCGAAGAGTGGAGGGACCTCTCAGAGTCTGAGAAGGGCGCGTACAGAGACCTGAGCAAGGCGGAGAGAGACCGGTACGAGCGCGATGCGCTCAATGTGCTGGGACACGTCGTTCAGCCAGGCAAGACCTCCGAGTAAACGGGCAGTTTCGTAGGGTCTGCTCTCCCGGAAGGGCGTCAAGTTATTATGGGCAAACAGAAGCTGTGAACATGATCGAACCTAGCAAGTAACGACCGACTGTGTAAAAAGGGGAGATGTAGACGAAAAAAGAGGTGACGGGCCTGATGTTGTTTTTCTGTGTCTTGGCCTTGTACGGAGGGTATAGCATCGCTGGAAAGGATCGACCGCTTGTTCCAAGGTTGAATTTAGAATACCAATTGTAAGACAAAAGCGTTTGGCACACAAAGTGGGTTATCCAGCCTGTCCCTTGTATGCAAAGTCCTGAAGCAATATAGGACTCCTTAGTGATGCTATGCATCGCAGTGTTTGCGCTGTCGTGTACAAAATATCCCAAACTTGACGCGACGCTCATGTGCTGTGCGACCCAAACGCCTCGCTAACTCGGAAAACGTGGAAGAGATCTATCCGCCTGTCATGCTACTTTTTCTGTCCCATCTCGCGTCACGTCGTCCGGCCCGTCGTCCGGCCCGTCGTCCATGCTCTCCTCAGACTCGGAATTACCATGCCCGTGGGTGATGACGATAACCTCGCCTCCGCCGTCCACCCAACGCGCCACGTCCTTCTTCAACGCCCTCTCGCTCGCCAGATACAGAGCCAGGTAAACGTGACCCGCGATGTGGCCCCAGCAATAGACCCGCAGCCCTGTCCAGTCCTCGGCGCGCTTGCACCAGACGCCCCAGCCGGCGAACCCCTCGAGGATGTAGTCCGTGAGAAAGTGCCACGCGCGTTCGCGTAGCGTGGGCCGCCACTTGGTCCAGTCAAGCTGCCAATGGCCTCGCTCGAAGGGTCGAAGTTCCCGTTTCTGCATGACGGGCGCGTAGCGCTTTGAGATGTTCAGCTGACGGGCTAGTTCCTGAAGTTTGGGCGTCAGGAGGTCGTCAGGCGTCAAGTCAGTGGTCCCGACGGGAGGTCCGACTGGACGGATTTCGAGGCGATCGAGGTAATTCAGGTGCCGCTCGTTTGGAGGGCGTATAGGGCGGTATAAATCTGTAGGAACGGCTCCGACGTCTGATGAGCTTCTGGTAATGACCGACCTCAACTCAGAGATGGGCACACATCTTCTGTGCCGCTTTGACGAAAGAGGAGGCTCAGAACCGGCTCGGTTCGGTGATGAAGGCAGTCTCCTTTTTTTTGAAGGCTGGCATGGCGTATCCTGTATGACCTGCTCGAGGGGCGAGCTGGGTAAAAGTGGCCGCTTGAAAGCAGCAAATGGTGTCCTTGCGACCACCTTCTCTGCCAAAGATGCAGGGCTCGTGGTCGCTTCGTTGTTGGCTGGAGGCCAAAAGCTTGATGCTACGAGGGCAACTTGGGCTTCGTCTTCATCTTCATCCTCTTCTTCCTCTGGGGCTGGTGCCGGCGTTCGGGCTTGCTGGATTCCCGAATCTTGCGGCGATACTCCGGCGGCTTGGCTGTCAAACTGGCAAGCCAGGTGCTCGAATAACCGGCTAGGAGATGAGAACTCAGGGAGGTTGACGGTATTTAGAGGTTGGGAATCGCCAATGGTACTCGGAGGAGCCTGCCAACTGCCCTGGGTCTGTTGCGGCTCTGGCTCTGGTAGGGACGAGGGTACTATGTCTCTGGGTATAAGTGGCCGAGCCAGGCCTGGTGAGTTCCTGTTGTCCAAAACACTCCTGAATGACAGCTCCTGCGAACGAAAAGAGCCAAACGATCCAAACAACGTTTGTGGAGGCGGCGACGGTGGCCGCGATGGTGAGGAGGTGGCTGGCCGGGTTGCATCACTACTGAGGATCGGTGGTGCATTAGACCAAGCAGGCAAGTCCGGCAGCTCAACCTGTGAGCTTGGAATGACTTCTTCTGCAATACTGGGTGAAGGTCCGCTTATGATCTTGGTCTGGCTTGTTGGGTCAAAGTCGAGATATGCCTGTGCCAGGGCCCGGTAGCGCGCATCGTCGACAGTCTTGCACGGTGCTGTAACATGCACCAAAATCTCAACGTTGGCAGTTGTCTCCATGACGACCTCCCAGCAATTTTCACAAGCGCGGTCATCTCAAAGAGCAGGCGCCAGGATGCACATTAATGATGGATAGCAAACGCGATTATGACGAGAACAGAACGTCAGAGTCTGCAAGTAAGATAATAGCATCAAAAAGAGAAAGAAGAGGATAAAGATAAAGGCCTGGGATGCAGGTGCTGAGGAATGCCAGGTTAAAAGGTGAATGTAAAGTTAAAGGTTCCAAGTCAGTGCACTTTGAAGCGGGGCACATGTCTAATCATCAGAAGAGCGAGACTGGGGCGTCAGTTTCTAACCCGCAGCCTAAATTAGCGCGCTGAAGAGCTCCAATGTAGCTGTACCGCCAAAGATGACACCCTTTGGCCCTAGAGGTCCGTACTCAGTACTTAGTACTCGAACTGTCAATGGACAATTTGAAGGATTGGCCAGCCCATCTGTTGTTCTACGAATGCCTGTGTCCTTACCCCAGAATCTCACTGCTTCAGGGACCAGACACAAACCACCAATTGACTTGCTCCTTTCCCCAACTTCTTCTCTTCTTTCTTTACCCGTGATACCCCTTCGTCCCCGCCCCCCCCGAATTCTCTTGGTCGACGACCTCAGATACATACAGCAGCCATGTCCGAGAAGAAGCCCGCAACTCCCAACCTGGGCAAGGTTCTCGTCATCGGCGGCAACGGCTTCCTGGGCCATCATGTTGTCAATCAGCTCCTCGCCGGCGATCGCTGGGCCGTCACGTCCGTTGACGTGATCGATCTTCGCTGCGGCCACAATCGACACCCCAAAGCCAACTACCATGAGGCTGACATCACCGACACTGACAGGATGAAGTCCATCCTCGAGAACACTAAGCCCGACGTCGTCATCCACACCGCCTCCCCTGCCGCCCAGGGCGACGGCCCCGTCGCCAAGGACCTCTTTCGCAAGGTCAATATCGACGGCACCGCCTCTGTCGTCGTCGCGTGCCAGGCCTGCTCCGTCAAAGCCCTCGTCTACACATCTTCCGCCAGCATCATCAGCGACAACACGAGCGACCTCATCAACGCCGACGAGCGGTGGCCCGTTATCCGCGGTGAGCTGCAGACTGAGTACTACTCCGAGACCAAGGTATGCGCCCACCAAACGCACCCACTTCCCCCTCCTTTGGTGCCTTTCCATTGCCGCATAGCGCTCTCTTGCAACTGAGCGCAACAGGCTGACTTGACGTGCTCCTCTCCTAGGCCGCCGCAGAAGAACTAGTCCTCAATGCGAACCGCCAAGACCCTTACCCCCTCGTTACATGCTCCATCCGCCCTGCGGGCATCTTCGGCGAGGGCGACACCATGGTCACCCATCAGATGGTCAAGATCTACCGTGAGGGAAAAACGGGCTTCCAGCTGGGCGACAACGACAACCTCTTCGACTTCACATACGTCGGCAACGTCGCCCATGCCCACCTTCTGGCGGCGCGACTGCTTCTCGCCACCGCCGCTGCCTCCACCGCCCCCCTCGACCACGAAAAGGTCGACGGCGAGGCCTTCCTCGTCACCAACGACAGCCCCATCTACTTTTGGGACTTCACGCGCGCCATCTGGCGCGCCGCGGGATCCGACAAGGGCACGAGCCACGTCTGGACCATCCCCCGCGAGATCGGCGCTGTTCTGGGCTTCTGTTCTGAGGTCTTCTGCAGCATCGTCGGCAAGCCTCCTACGTTCAACCGCCAGCGCAACATCTACAGCTGCATGACACGCTACTACAACATCAGCAAGGCCAAGCGTCTGCTCGGCTACCGACCCATTGTCAGCCTCGACGACGGCATCAAAAGAGGCGTGCAGTGGTTCCTGGACCAGGAGAAGGCCGGCAAGGTCAGTATCAAGGCATGAATGAGAGAAACCATGATGAACGAAAGAAGGTGGAAGCACGGGATACGCTCGCGATGAGCGGCGGGCATGGCGGTTCAAATGAAAAGTGTGTTCATTTCCGTATATATACATTCATACCCTCAGTGTAGGAAGGACTTAATAATTGGGCCTTGACATGGCCATGACCTGGGAAAAAGAAACAAGCTATAAAAGGCGATGAACTTCACATTGCAATGCTATTGTAATTGACAAGTGGAAACATGAACACACACACACACACATATATATACATACACACACATGTACATACACACACACATACATACACATAAATAAGAACGAGGATACGTGAAAACACATAAGCATGACATATCTCGAACCTTGTACCTTATTGGAGGGGAACCCGCAGGCAACAATCAGTCTGCCCAGTTCGCATTTGTGAGCTACCTGGCTGGTTTCCATGCGTTGCTACTTGAAGAAGAAAAAAACTGTCGCTCGCTGCTGCGACATGCAAGAGTTAAGGCAGAGAGAACAGGCGGCTTTTGTTTTCCACCCCCTCCACCTTCGCAACAACCCTCCCATATGCGCGCAAATATGGCGCGCTCTTTGACGCTCTCCCACTCTCTCACTGAGATCCTCCCACAATGTAATCCGACATCTTCTCCATTCCAACAAAGAAGCAAAGCTATAGCAAGTCTCGCGCGCAAAGCCAAGATGCCAAGGCTTGCTGTCCAGCTCGAGACGGTCAATCAAGCAACACCGTCCATCGACAGGTCGACAAGCCCCTAGGGCCTATACTCCAAGCCAGCCAAACCGAAGCCAAACCAATGCCTCCAACCCTGCTGCCCTTCACCCCTCCCTGAAAAAAGTCAGGGTAAAGTCGTGTGAAATAACACCAACAGACTGCAGAAATCTAGTTCTGTGGTGATCCGGTACTTTACACTCAGAGAAGCCAAAAAAGGGGGGGTTTAGAAAAGGGGTTTCTTTTTGAAGAAAAATAGAAGAAGCCCAAGCTCTCTGAAAGAAAAGAAGAAGAAAAATCATTCATGCCGCCTTGTCGTAAGTAGAAGTCGAACGATAAGGAAATCTTTTTGTCCTTTTGATGAAAAACGGTCGGAAACGCCGCCAACAATGCATGGATGTGTGACTCTTGAACCGCCAAAACGCAGGTTCTGATGGAATGCGCAGCAAGTAATGCGAACCGAATAACGGACCACTCTGTAATGCGTGTACAGGCCTGCCATCTTCGTGTGTTGCATGGCCAGATTACAAGTTTCCGCCAACACCAACACCGTTGTTCTGTCTTCCCCAAACTCCACCAGATTGGCGCCACTCTCTCTTCTGCGCCTCACTAGGGCCCTCGGTATCGGAATGCTCGAACTGTACTCCTCCACCATAGGCAGATGGGTTACCGTTCTCTTCTTGCGGTATTCGCCATCTCTGGGGTGGAGTGCCAGGGTTGGCTGGGTTGAAAGGGGGCATGGGCATGGGCGGATCCTGCACGGGGCGAACACTGCTTTCCTGCTGTTGCCACAGAGCAGGGTCTGTCTCAACCCTTCGGGGCGGTGGCCGAGTCGAGTTGTCAGGTCTGTTAAACACCTCGCTGACTTCACCGCTAAGCCCCGATCTCTGGCCCATGCGGTCTTGGTAACGCTTGAGAATGTCCTTGGTGGTGAGGTCAGCAGTGTTGCCAAAGACAAATGGATCGTTGACTAGGTCCATAAGCTCGTCAGGGACCTGTGAGATAAGGTTAGCCACGTTGGATCAAAGACATATCCCAAACCAGTCTGCTTACCAAGCACATCTCTTCAATAGAGGTGATCATGTCGTTCACAGCCACAATGGCAAACATGGGGTCGCTGTCCAGTGCAGGCGCTTTGTTGCTGTTATAAAGAATGTTAGGCGCAATGACTGTTGCCAGGTTCTTGATGTCCATTCTGGATCCAGCTTCTTCGTCAATTTGGTGGAAAGATCCGGCCCACTTCAAGAAGCAGAACAAGATCTCCAAGCAATCCCGGTGTGCCTTGGGCAGCAGGCAGCAGATGAGATGCAGGTACTGTTTACGCTTCTCGTCGTCTTGAATCTTGGCGACAGCAATCCATAGTCTCTGAAGCTTGAAAGTCATGAGTGGGTCAGGAAGCTCGCGCAAGTATCGCTTTAACAGAGCGGCGACCTGGACGACGGGCTGGTCCATGAAGTTGATGCTGTCGCAACCTTCGCGGTCGATCCTCTCACATAACTCATTAAGCTTCTTGATATTTCCGTTCTTTCGGAACACACCCTCGACCGACAAGTCCATCTTTCTCATCGAGGAGATAAGATCATCAATGATGGCGGGAATCTTGAGAGTGCCAGGGCCCACGCCGTCTGTCGATTCGGCACCGTCCTTGTCAATGATGACATCGAGCGGCACGCCAAATATGCCCTTCTTCTTGACGTTCTTGGGCCTGTCGTTCTTGAACGCCTTGCCGAGATTCTTCCAAAAAGTGGGCTGCTTCCTGAGCTCAATGAAACTCAACAACTCATCGAGAGAAAACTCCTGCTCAACAGCAGGTGCCAGGGTCAAGACGGCCAGATGGCGCACAATGAAGTATTCTAGCCCTGACAGCTCTGAGAAATACTTTCGGCCAAGCCGCTGAGGCATCGGATCACCCATGCGGATCTCTGCGTCTCTGCCTGCAGACTGCGATCTTTGGTGTCCTGCGGGGTCGGTTGCGGGGGATCGGAAGAGCTCCTGTCGGTTGGGCTTATACTGCTGCTCCTTGACCTGTTCAGCGGCGACGATTCGCGGGATATCATCGAGAGTTAGGGCATCTTGGTGATTGAACATTTTATCAGTTGTGCCCTCGTCTTTTGGGCCGCGTCTATCTTCGACAATTTGAAGGTCCCCATCGGCTGGTCCCAAGTCCTCGCCTGCCGATCCCGGGCGGACGCTGCGGCCCTCAGGACCGTCCATGATGCGCGAGGTTCTCGCCTTTCTAAAGCTGGACGACAAATGCTTGTCAAGACGGGTGCTCCTCAGCCGGCGAACATCATTCAGCGTGTTCTCGTAGGAAGACTCGCGATTGTGCTCCCGCTGATCTCCGGCGTACGATTTGGAGCGATTGTCCGAGTTTAGGTAAGGCGGTTGTCCGGAGCCTAAAGTTCGGGGCCCCTCGCCCGGGCCATACCCATCCATGTTCTGGTCGTCGCTCTGCCGAGGCAAAGCACCATTGCTTCGGAGGATGTCCAACAATCTCGCCAATGCTACCTTGAGCAGGAAAACATATTGCTGCAGCTTGGTGACATGTTCGAAAGGCGGCATGTCCTCGCTGTTTGCACCGATGCAGTTGTTGCAGTAAATCTTCTTGTCAAACGCATTGTAGTTGGCATCTTCCAACTTGCGGCCGATATCCCTGGTGCATCGCGAACAGCTCACGCAGGCGATGTGCCAGCGTTTATCAGAATGCTTGGCACATTCGTCCTCGACGGATTTATTGCACAGTGCGCAATGGTCCGAGTCCTTTGCTGAGAGTCGCGTGTTGCCGGTGATGGCCTGGAGAGTGTTGTCGTCAGGATTGACGTTATCCAGCTCGCTGAGATCATCCAGGAATTGGTAAATGCCGTCGGAGCTCTTAGACTCCTTTTCGAGGCGCAGCGCTCCCTGCAAACAAATTCGAATGAGAAGTTTGAGGTAGTGAGCAAGACCTGTGACGAGAGACAGCAGCTCTTGCGTGACGCCAAGCTTCCGGGCACCCGTGTCTTGTGTCTTGGACAGCAGGGAGAAGAAAGACACTATCTTCTTGCACAGAAGCTTGGCCTCACGTCCGTACGACAATCCTATTTCTGATTTGTTAGCAACGCAGCTTTTTTGACAGGCAAACGACCGAAACACACCCTTCAGCTTCAGCTGATCCATGGAGTAGTCGAGGCGATCAGCAGACTTGAACAGAATTTCAACGTGCCAGATGAACTTCTTGGCAACGAGTACACCGTCGACGTAAGCGCCATTGCTCACGTGAAGAAGCATGTCGGAAATACAAGCCGCGGATGACTCTTCAAAGGTCGACAAGACACTCCAGATGCGATAGACCTTCTCTTCCATGCGCTCCTCCTCCTCTCTGATAATTTCGCGAGTGGCGGGGTCGTCGATCGCTTGAGGGATCTCGGAGGATTCGCTCGGCTGGGTAAGTCGAACGTTCCAAAACTTGTGTATCATGTAGCACTCGGGATGCCAATGTTGGTTCTGGCCGTTTCTGTAAATCTCCACGAACTGCTTGAGGATCGCAGTCTGGCAGCCATTGCATCTCTGCGCGAACTGCGTGGAGTAGTGGTAATGGCAGTAGACATGGCCATCGTGCTCGTAGTAACTGTCCTGAGCGCCGAAGACAGTGGGACAAAGGGAGCATGTGAAGTGGTCGACGTGATACTTTCGGTCGAGAGCAGTGATGTAGGAGCCTCGGAGGGCGCCGCCACATTTGTAGCAAAGCAGGCCCAGCCGGCGGAAGTAGTCTGTCTCGCAAAGAGGGTACTGTCCCTCGCCACTCTCGTCGTCGACAGGGAAGAACTTGGAAGCTACAATCTGACCGCAGTCCTAGAGAAGTTTGGATTAGCGTGGCCAAGGGGTAACCAGGGAGCACACCCGACACCTACACGACACTTGAAGCAGTCCAAATGAAAGGTCCCGTCCAGGGCGCGCACGAACTGGCCGGTCAGCGGCTCTCCACACTTTTTGCAGATTCTCTGTTGGCCGCTGGCTGAGCGCCCACCTCTCCCGTTGGATCTGCTGCGTTCACCGCTCCGTCTCGAGTCGCCGTCTCTGCCAGGTGTTCTGGGTCCTGGCGAACGCGAGGACTGCTGTGTGCGATAACTGTTGTCGGGGGTTTTCCGTCCTCCATTCTGCTGCTGCTGCTGCTGCTGCTGCTGCTGCTGCCAACCGCGATCGCCAGGGTAGCCGGTGTCCATGGAGGCGGCGGGGTGGGTCGGAAAGCGGTCGTCAGGCGCGCCGTGGTCGTAGTCCGACGCCATGTTGCAGTGTTGGTCGTGTCGATGCTCTCTCTACTCGGTAGGGGTCGATTGCGACTCTTGGCTGGTAGGGCGAAATGGATTGGGGAAAGCGGCCCGTCAGCCTCGAGTGTCGGACGCGGGAATTGCCAGGAAATTATCGGCCGGCATCAGCTGGACGGTGGAAATGCCGGGGTGTTTGTGTTTGTGATGGGATGGGTAGGAAATATGTATGTACTGGGGTCGAGAATTGAAGAAAAGGGTGGTCGTCGCACGGCGGCGGTATCGTGCTGCTGGGCGATAGT